TACATATTTTAAATTTATTTGAATATAACGAAATATTTTGAAATAAAACTGACAGTTGGTGTTACATAAATCCCAGGAATTTCATTATCATTTTATATAACAGTTTTCCTATAAGATAATTTTTTACTTTTAATAATAATGGTCAATAAAGCCCATACTAGTATTTGTTTGTTTTTATTCACATCAAAAACTATTTTGGATTAAAATACACTGAACTTTATTACATGTATACAAAACGATTACAAAACTACTTTACAAGCACATGTGCATCATAGAAATAAACTACACTGAACTTTATTACATGTATACAAAACGATTACAAAACTACTTTACAAGCACATGTGCATCATAGAAATAAACTACACTGAACTTTATTACATGTATACAAAACGATTACAAAACTACTTTACAAGCACATGTGCATCATAGAAATAAAATACAAAATCATATTACCCCAAATTGTTATCAACAAATTAAATTGTAGCCTATACAAACAACAATTAAACATTTTATGTTCTTGAAGATACACAGTACTGAGAACTTCTACAATTTAACAGCACATAATAAACATCTAACAACAAAAATCACCACCACAAAAACCCTTCAGGGTTAATATTAACTTCTTTTTTTATTTGTTGTTGTAATATAAAGTACCTAGAGCTTTGTTTCTGCAGGAGAACCTTTTTTATCTTACAAACTACAAAATTATTAAAAGAAAAACATACATAAATTCAAATACGTAACGACATCTCGTAAACTCATCTAATTATATATAGACACACACAAAAGATGTTGTTGATTTTTATAGCAGAGCTACACAATCTGCGCACCACGAGGAATCATACCTTAAATCTTAGCGTTGTAAGTCCGTAAACTTACCACTGGCTCACCACAGGGATACACAAACAAGATAACAACGGATAATTTTCATATGAATTGTGTTAATTACCTGTTGAAATAAATTAGTGCGTTAAACCAGAATCTAAAAATATAAGCCTGGAAATCATTATATTCATTAATTCCTATTAAAAGCTAGCTGTAATATTTTTTTTTCAACGTTATATCTATATTGTACATTGCAAACTGGTATATATATATTTCAATACCAGGTACGAAAATTAAAACATTAAACTAAACCAAAGTATTACCAAATTTTGTGTGAAAGTAAAATATATACACTTTATATACAACATATGCATTCATGTACTAAATAAATTAATACGAAATGCATTCATTAATCCAACAAATATATTGTATACAGTGTGATCACAGATACATGCTCAGTTAATTATGGAGTAACATAACTGAAATAAATACATTAATACAGAATAACAAATGTAATAAAAGTTACATTTTGTATACATATTGAAAACCCACAGCACTGTGGAATAAATAAATAGTGGGTTTAAGCATTTGGTGTCGCCTATATTGTTCTTTTTGTTTTATTTTTATCCTCTTTTTTTACATTACAGTTTTTAATTTTGAAATAATTAGTTAGATGTGTGACAGACATGTTTGTTTGTTAATAGTTTAAGCACAAAGCGACACTATGCTCTAACCACCACGGGTATCGAAACCCGGTGTCTGGCGTTGTAAGTCCGCAGACTTACTGCGGTGTTACTTGGGGGCACACACATACTTATAGCCGGATACGGGAAATATCTTTCCAAATATGTACATATAATTTAGCCTTTATTATTTTTATCATCCTCGTTGAAGTTTCAATTGTAATAATAATTTATTTATTTATTGAAATATTTTGTTTTGTACAAATTGGGTTTAAAGTTTTTTGTTTGCTTTTTTTACTTTCAAGAAAATTTGATATTACATTAGTTTGTGTTTTTTGTTTCCTCTTAATTACCTATAATTAAATTACAAGTTTAAAACGTACAAAGTTTAAAGATAACACAGGCCTGCGATGGTTTTATTGTCTTGAAATTTCTACATGTTCTACAGTAATTCTTGTACGCTGAATCCGAAAATATCAATTTTCTCGATCACATACAAATTTTTCACAAAACGTCATATGTACTTTTACATAAGTGAATCATTTTCATTGAAATCGGGTCGCATTTTGTTATGCTTAAAATGCTGACAACCACTGGCTATAGATTTCTCTAAACTAATCGCTAGGTCTTATCGATTGTTCTAGAACCCTATCGCCCCCACGTGGCACAGCGGTATGTCTGCGGACTTACAACGCTAGAAACCGGTTCGATACCCGTGGTGGGCGAGAGCACAGATAGCCCTTGATTAGC